CTTTCCCCTGAAATTGCCAATGCCAGAGTATGTAAATTTTAGTAGAACGCGCAAGGATTCAAATTATCAGCGGAAGTATTCTGAGTTAAATAGAAGGGAAACGAGTTCGAAGGTGTGCTTTCTTGCTTCACGAGTGTGGAGGTGGCTAGTTAGAAATTGAAGAACCACGCGTTTCGGCCTGTGTGCTTGCCTCGGCAAATTGTTAATCTTTCAACGTAATATTCAGAGTTTGCTGAATTATCAGCGGTATTTTAGAACGCGGTGAGGTTAGTTACGTTTAGAGAGCTTCGTAGTTAGTCACTTGTTAGTATCTCTTTTTAGTTTCTTATTTTTATTTTACCGCCGGGTCGGCGTACTTTGTGAGCGTCAAGAGCACGCATTTGTAACTTCTAAAGTTGAATAAAAAGGATTTAAACCCTTCTCAAGACTTTGGTCTATTTCCAGTTCTCAGCAGTCACCACTTTGTTGCGTGCAGGTTGGAAGCGCGCAACTTTACAAAGTCATCAGTTTTGCTGAAATTTTTACTATTTAAGAAATTTTGTAAACTTCGAAATAAATTATAATCCAATGGTGCAAGATCGGGGCTTTATGGGTGGTGCGACATCACTTCCCCAATAAGTTTCCTGCGTATTGTTAAATATATGTGAGACCTCGCATTGTCGTGGTCGAACACGTTTCCTTTGCAGTTTGCAAATTCTGGATTTTTTTCTCGGATTTCATAAGTTGTTGGCAGTAAACATCTGAGTTGATCGTTTGGCTGCTTGAAAGTAGCCCAAAATGCACAACAGTTTAGCAATCTCACCAAACTGACAGCATGATGTTTTTTTGATGAGACTTTCCTTGCGATATGATTTGTGCTGATTCATCATGTTTTGACAATGGTCTTTTTCGATTAATGTTATTGCAGAGAATTCATTATAATTAGTTAAAAAAAGGGTCGATTGCATTACGTTTGAAATCCAAATATCAAATACTGATTTGTTGCGTTATGTGAATTTCTTTCAATTCATGCAGTATCAAAATATCAAGCTCCTCATCGAGTCCAATACATCTTATGAAGTTTTCAATTGTTGTGTGTGATACATTTAACGTTTTGGCAATATCTCGCATAGTTATATGATGATTCGATTCAATTATGGTTTTAATTTTATATCATCAACTTCAGAAAATCGGCCAGAATGTTGGTCAACTTCAAGCGAAAAATCTCCAGAACGAAAATTTTTAAACCAGTTCTGACACATTTATTCTGTTAAGCAATCAACATCATAAACTTGATATATCTCTTTGTGAGCCGCAGCCGCATTCTTGCCTTTATGAAAATAAAAAAGTAAAATATATCGAAAATGTTTATTTTTTGCACCCCATGTTGAAACTGAACGTAAACTAACAGTTGCAAACAAAAATACATGGAATTTATTTCTGCCCCGACCTAAAAGTGCCAGCTGCCGAATCTGAAAAGAAAAAAAAATTATAAGATTTACAGGATAACAAAACGAACATAATGCCATCTGTTTGTGAAAATGGAAATTACTTTCTTGCCTACCAAATAATTTATCGTGTTACAACTTAGTGCTTAGTATAATTATGAACTGCAAAAAATATTTGTTAAATTCTGTTAGGTTATCTTATAAGTTCTACTGAGTTTATGCAGTCTTCGGTAAAAGTATATTTACGGGTCCCCCTTGGCGAAAAATGGCGATTTTTGGATACCGAGTTTGTGCAATTTTTTGACTTGTTATTTTGGCTTTGTGCAGCGGTGATTTTAACACCAAAAATCCCCTCTACACAAAGACAAAACAACAAGTCAAAGATTTGCACAAACTCGGTATCCATGTACACACTAACCTATTTCCACTTAAAAAACATCACAGAATTGCACAAACTAGGCATTGCGCACTCCCTTGACTTTATTCATGTACACGTCGACCTATTTTCATTTAAAAAAAACATCACAGAATTGCGCACTGGCATTGCGTACCCCCTTGACTTTGTCCATGACGTACACATCGATACATTTTCACTTAAAAATTCAAAGGAGCACCCAATTCTAGGTAAAAGTATATTTACAAAACATTCAACTATAGATCGACCGTCTCAAACGCAACCCTGGCTGGTATTCTGCCAAAACACATAGACCTCGTCCAAAAGGGGCGTTATCACTTGCTACGACGTGAAAGGTCACGTGAAAGTCTTCTCTTCTCCGGAAAGAGATATGCTGGAGGGAAAGAAAGTCCCAATCCTTCCTATTTTGGGAATAATTTGCTACGAATGGCGCATGCGTGTTTGCGCTGATGGTCACGGATGAGGCGGTCGAAATATACTCAGGTTACTATAAACGAAAAAACAACTTGGCGATAATACAACGGGTACCCTTCAGTCTTTTCTAACCCAGTCTTCAAACCATGATAAATTAATTTAATATTTTATTCCTTAAATGCTTATTTAATTAATAGGGCAGTCAGTGTTCTTCAAACTGTGTTGCGCAAGCAGTCGCTAAGTGTTCCGCGAATAATTACGAAATTGACGTTAAAGTACAAAAAATATTGATCTGCTTTTATGAACGTCACACAATTTAAATCAATTCTTGAAAGAAATTTGAACAAGCAATATAAAACACAAAATGTTTTAAATTGCACGTATAGCGATTCAGTAATGCAGCACATGGCTTACATTGCCAACAAAATGCTGGCAGAATGTATTTCTGGAAGTATTTCAATGAAGTGTTAGCTTTCTGGGGGGGGGGGGGGGGGACTTTTTACCTTTTTATTGAATTTTCATTTTGAAATTTTCAAGTAAATATAATTTTTTTAATTAATAAATATGTAGAGACATTAGAAAAATACCTTAAGTATAATATTTTTAATCGTCAAAAAGGCTTTTGTTTCAATAATTGAATACTGTATTGTCGGCAACGATGAAGATATACCAGAAAAGACAAATTTTAATCATTTTATGATCAATTTTTTACCATTACAAAAGGTCTTTATCAAAGACTAAGATGTTGTAGTCATTAAAATCTAAATATGTTTTAATTTTTAATATTATTTGTTTTATTTAATTAGTTATACATGTCAATTTTTGTAACATTTGATACAAATATTTGATGTGGACAACCCCACGACTTCCTTACACGGCCTGTTAAATTATACACATTTTTTGCTGCATTTCATTTAAACATACTTCCTCGAATTTCATTGAGATGTATTTCTCATTCAGTTAATTCAAATCTTACTTCGGGCAAGGCACAAATACATAAAACTCAAAACATCTTCACTAAAAATTGTAAAATACAAAAAAAAAAAAACATAAAACACCAAGTACAGATTAAAAACAGGTAAAAAAAAATTACGATTAAAACTAGAGTTTTCCGAGAAAACAAGAAATTCAATCGACGGGCAAGAAGACTAAATATTCGGTGCACACAACTGAAAGTTAACTTTTGGTCTTACTGGGCAAAAGACTCTCAGGTTGGTGCACCAACTAACTTGATTCACTTTTCTGCTAAGCGTTTCAAATGTAAACAAATGGCTGCCTTGTTAGGCCTATCATCACTTTTAAATTGTTGATAATTCTGCAACTATTGCATGCAGATTAACTGAAGGCATAAAAACCTTAACCGGAGCATAAGAACAATATAATTCAATCACTTTTAAATTAAAAAAAAAGTGTACAGTTTACTAACATATAAGAATAATAATCCTGAGCTCACCGAGCCGGATAACAGGGTGGGACGATGCGACGAGGCGACGAGAAGGGCAGAAGAAGAGCTGCATGTTATATATCAGTCTCATATACAAAATTTGAAAGTTCTAGGGCTACTCGTCTTTGAGTCATCAGAGATACATTCATACGACCGTACGTACAGGCCTCAAGAAAAAAAAATCTCTTCTGAATCCATTTTAAATTCATTTTACAATCCGTTTTGGAAAGAAGAGTCCTTTATTCTGTCCGTACATACAGATGTCACTCAAAAAACATCACTTAAAAAACATCATTCAAATATCGAGAAAGGTCAGAATGGATATTTTCGTTGAAATGTGATACTCGAAATTTTTCGCGAAGACAATAGTTCTTTTACTTCCTACAAGGAAGGGAAAGTGAAAACAATTTCCTGCATGATAAAAAAAAAAAAAAAAAAAAAAAAAAAAGGGTTAAATGCTTATTTATTTTACTATGAATCTAATATATAACCTGTTTTCATTTATTGTAACTAAATCCCCAAATTTACTATAGTGTTCTTTAGAAACTTTAGAACTTAAAAAGTGTGATATTGTGAAAAAACGTTGGGAAACACAGTACTAGGGGATAACTGATCATGATAATATAATATTTATATAGCAGGTTGTTAAGAAATTGCATGTTAAGTCCTGTAGGCACAAAGTACACTTGTAAGTACTCCAAACTTATAATGTTATACTTAGTTAAACATCGGTGTCCAGTTGAAGACATTTTCTTACCAAGAAGGTTTCATAAAATTTCCAGTGGAGGCTACAAAACTAACTCTGCGTGTAAAATTCAATAACTTGATTGTTGCAGTCCACTGGTTACTCTAGATTCTAGATTTTTGTTGGATTAGATATAACCATAAGCTGCAACATAAAATTTTATATTTATCATTTCGCTATTCTAAATAGCTTACAGGCACTTATCAAAGTGGCCGTTTACATCACCGGTGTCATAAATATTGTACAGCAGGATAAGAGACAATCGATAAGGATAATACTGGCAGTAGGACAAACATGATTATAATTTGATTACTATTTATACATAAAGTGGGCTAAATTATGCCTATATTGGCATGTGTATAATTATTTATATCAATGGTTTTGCTATTGTTTAACATTAACTACACGTCTTAATGACATTATATTATTTATATAATATCATCAGCTCTTGCTTGTGAACAGCGAGTTATATTCTAAGGTGTTCTTTCTCGTCAATGTAAGCTTTCATAATGTTAAATTTAGCAAGTTTTTGCAAAGAATTCAACATTTTCTCAGGTGAGAATCATTCCTCTCCAATCCAGCTGGGTTATGACAGCATCTTATTCACCGTCTGGTAATTTCGTGGCTTGCGGAGGTATGGACAATATGTGCACCGTCTACGATGTGAATTCCAGGGATAGTACCGGAACTGCCAAAATCAGAAGAGAAATGATGGGATTCGAAGGCTTCCTGTCTTGTTGCAGGTTCTTAGACGACAACAAACTAGTGACTGGATCAGCTGATATGAAAATGTAAGTACAACTTTTTGCGATATCATTCTTTTATTAATTATTTATATTGTAGCAAACTGAAATTAGACTACGTAAAATTTATTGCAGACTTCACAACCGACCACTTTTCCAAATTTTATTTTAGTTCCTGTAAACTTATATATAATATCAAAAACATATTTAATACCAAATTTTCAAATATGAAACACCTTCTCTTTACACACAGTGTGGTGAATCAGTAGAACTGCATCAAAACAAAAGCAGCGACACTTCAAAATTTACTGTTATTTCCTGGGAAAAGAAAATCGAGCAATAAATGAATATCAATGTCATACCCTTCCATTCATATTCCTACTAAATCTCCTGATCTACCATCAATGTATTTTCGCGCTTTTGGACTTTTAAAAAGCGGGTTGTCCAAATGTCGACCTACAGCCTCCTTAGACTGTTCTAGAGCAATGGGATTAATACCTCTTCCGGTATTACAAAAAACTTTATTGTGTTGGAAATTACGGTTTATAATGATAATGAAGAACAAAGATTATCAAATAGAATATTTAAAACATAAAAACTTTAGGTGAAATATTTCTGCAATTACAATAAAAATCGTCTAAAAAATATGCTAAAAGCCTCTGTTGAAGAGTAGCAAGAAATTCAGTCAACAATTTTGAAGAATCCTCGAATAAACTTCGATACTAGAGATTATATGAGAATCTCACTAAATTTCTGACATACAGCCAAATAACTTGCAAGTTAAACTTTAAAATCTTAGGAGTGTTCAAACTAGTACCCTCCAACGTCAGTGCACATTTGTAGGTGAATTCTTCAAAGAATAAAATGCTTCAAGCCATACATTTCTTGAAATCGATGAAAATTATGCTTTATGCTTTCATGGCCTTATTTTCGGAATGAAAGCGAACGGCTACGAAACTTTTGTTTTAGATTAAAAAATGATAAAAAGTCACTCGTAAGATTAGAATAGGGTGTGCTTTCTTTCTTCTTCCACTGTCAATCTTGCTGAATGAGAAGAAGCATCATCATGGTGAGGTATGAACTCCCTAATATTCACTTCTTGAAGGATGTCGGTAAGACATTTAGTGGTGTAGTTAGTACACAAGTTAGCTGTAGATGGCCTTTAACAAACACATAAAATTTCATGTAATTTAATATTAATGGACGTATGATAATGACACTATTTTTCAAGAAACCAAAATAATTATTGTTTAGACCTAGTTTTTAAAAACAGTAAAAGTATTAGAAATAAATTTATTAAAATATTTCAAGATAAGCTCGAACTACAACGAAACTTTAGTAAATTAATGGGCTACCAAAAGGTAACGAAGCAATATTTTATTACACTGCGCAGTACATCCATTTACTAAATACACTTGTGCGCAAAATTAAGATAATTTTGAAATTATGTTTATTTTTACGAAAAGTATTGAACTGAAGGTACTAATTATGCCACAGGTGTCTGCAGAGCTCAATTACTACCTGCAGAGCTGTTAATTACTGTCTGGTCAATTCTCTCCACAAAGCTCAGGTGTCTGCAGAACTCAATTGTTTCCTCAAATTGCAGACGACACTAGGATAACGCCCAGTCTCGTCTGGAATTTGTGCAAAACGTTTCAGGATCTATATCGAAAAGACCAAGGTCGACCAAGATCGTCAATGACAAATGAGGATCGTTATTTGGCACTTTCAGCGCGGTGACACAAGACTATCTCTCTACTACAGCTTCACAGCTTTCACGTGAGCTGTATGTTACCACTGAAACCCGAGTTTCATAGTCTACAGTTAGCCGAAGGCTTCATGAGATAAGGCTGTATACCATAAGTACACAAGAAATCGCGTTTAGCATGGTGTAGGCTAGACTTTAGGAAAGCACCATGCTTTTTTACTTATTGAGTCGAAATTCAGCTTAGACACTGATTCTCGGGGTACCTATATCTAAACAGAGCTTGGAACATCGATACCATTTCATCAGGGAAGAAGGCGGGAGTGGACGTGTAATGGTTTGGGCAGGCAATATATTGGGCGTTCGCACAACCCTACATGTGTTTGATAAAGGCTTCTTGACTGCTTTAAGGTATAGAGAGATGTCTTAGAGCCTTATATTAGACTTTTCAGGGCCGCAGTTGTTTCTGGCTTCCTCTTAATGAATGAAACTCTTGTCCACATAGGTTTCAGCTGGTCGACGATCACATGGAAAGTGAAGGTATTCGCCGCGTTAACTGGCCAGCCAAATCTCCTGGTCTTAACTGGAATGTCTGGGACGCTCGAGAGGGTAATTTACTCTCGCCATCATACTTCAAAAACCATCCCGTAGTTGAAAATTGCCTTGCTGCAGGGGTGAAATCGACTGCCATAGGAACTCCTCAACTGCCTCCTGTTCAGTATGCCGTCACTCTGTGCAACCCGTCTGGTTGTGAAAGGGGACCATACCCCATATTAGACTAATTTTCAGTTTGATATCACAACGTGGATTTTGGACATCCCTGCACTACGATCTTTACTCATAATCATGAGTACATAAAATGACTTTTGAATGGTACATCTCTTTCTATGTTATAAATGTATATTCATACCAAATTTCATTAAAATCTTTTGATTAGTTTTTCAGAAGTTTGACATGGTATGCAAATTTTCTTAATTTTGCACACTAGTGTGTAAGATTCCTTTACGTTAGTTAACCAGTCATTTTATATTTTGGACCTTTATTGTCACTTCTCCCTTTCGTTTGCAGGCCAGAATGAAAATTAGTTCGGGTGTTAAAATGGCTTTTTAAGCTAGAAGACAAAGCGTGTTCTTCCCCTCGAAGCCCCGTTATTAGGTTGCTAGATTAGAGAAGAAGTGAAGTCTTCGGTCTTTTATTATAATTGCCGATACTGAATATTCATGCCGTTTAAGTTTTGAGCCAATTCCACGTTAAATTGATGTATGCAGCATTTGGCTACTAACACATTTAAATTAAATTTACATATTTAAATTAAATTTACATTGACAAATTTACTTAACTTACCAAAAGTGATTGGCTCAGTTGCAAACACAAACCGTGCCTTCTGTTCTTATTTAGCTTTAAATAAAAGGTCTTCTATACCTCACTCAAGTTTTCCCCCAATGGTAGATTGTGAACTTACAGTGTAATACAGTCCATTAATCTATACAAAGGCTAGATGTGGTGGTCTCTTTATAATACAATGGTGTGCAAAAATTAAGGACGAAGTCGACAAATTAGCATATCAGCTGAACGAAGAGGCAGAGCGGAAAGACCAATCAGGAGATTAAGTAAGGTGATGTACGGTAGCACATGCGCAGATATGAAGGTAGACGTAATGGGGGAGTGGGAGTGTCTGAGTAGTATAAAGCATGTTGGTGTAAGATCAGTATTTCTGGCAAAGAGATTGCACGCCGTATAGCAGTTAAAATCACACGAGAGCGTCCTCTCGAGTTGCTGCCTCAGCGAGAAATGCATGAAAATAATCAATCTGTTATTCGACATCTGGATGCTTTTACCCGAGGTCGAATCATTGGGAAGCTGGAGGAAGGCCGCAGTGTGACAAGTGTGGCTGCAGAGTTCGGAATTGCTCACAGCATCGTTTCACGACTTTGGGGACAATTTCAAACTACAGGAACATCTATCCGGGGGTTTAGTAGTGGTCGTCCACGAGGAACCACACCCGCAGATGACCGGTATATTGCCTTACAGGCCAGAAGAAACAGGCGGCAGACAGCGGGAGAAATCGCTAGACACACGACACAGGCGACTGGACGACCGATATCGCGTTTTACCGTGGCCAGAAGACTGCACGGTGGTGGTCTGTTTGCACGATGCCCTGTACGGTGTGTGCCTCTAACGCCTGCCCATCGGAGAAGGCGTTCTCTGTGGTGCCGGGAACACCGGAATTAGAGAGACAATGAATGGGGACGAGTACTCTTTACAGATGAGAGCAGATTCAGTCTGAGTAGCGATTCTCATCGCATACTCATCTGGAGAGAGCGGGGAAGCCACAATCATCCCTCGAACATCATTGAAAGACACAGGTATGGAGGGGTGACGGTGTGTTCTCGTTTGGGGAGGCATCATGCTTGGTAGTCGTACAGACCTTCACATCTTCGACGCAGGTTCAGTCAACGGGATCCGTTATTGTAGAGATTCTTCTTCCATATGTGCGTCTTTTTAGAGGCGCTATGGGTCCGCAGTTTTCATGGACGACAATGCACCATGTCTTCGCACAGTAGCTGGCGAACAGCTCTTAGAGAGTGAGGATATTGAACGTATGGATTGGCCGGCACGATCTCCGGATCTCAATCCCATCGAGCATGTATCTGAGTTTCTAGCATGCATGGGCATCGAGCATGTATGGGCTCGTACCTTACCACCAGTAACGATTCCGGAGCTTCGATTGGCGCTGCAGGACGAATGGGCAGCAATGCCTCAACAACTCATTGACACCCTCATTCTCAGCATGGGCAGACGCTGTGAAACCTGCCTAGCAGTCAGGGGAGATCATATCAGCTATTAAAGACCGGATGTTGCTTGCTGGACACCCATCACAGGGATGTTTCGGCCTTCAGTCGCATTGCGCTCCATGCTACTTTTTCAATAAAGCTTCTTTTTATCCCTCTGATTTCTCTTTAATAAGTGTTGCTTACATTACTCATGTCCTTACGTATTGGGGATCTTATGGTATTAAATGTGTTGATTTTGAAAGCTTTTGTACAAAGTTATATTGAAAAAACCGTCTCGTCCTTAATTTTGCACACCAGTGTAGAGGCACCTAATAGGTGGGCCACCATTGTCTCTTATGAAGGGATGGACAGTTACAACCATGCCTTCTCCGGGATTCGAACCCAGGCCCTTCGGTATTGTAGTCATGCTTCCTAACCACTATACCGTCTGGGCGGCCATTTCTCAAGCTTCAGTCGTTATTTTAGACTTAGCGATAAATCTTTGCAAATCTATCTGAAGTTTGTTTACATAGTATGACTGCAAAGAAAATTACTAAATTTCATAAGTGTACAAATACGCATTGCTAGTTTGTTCTTTAAATTAACATTCCATGCTGTATTGTTCAGGCTATTTTAGTGGTTCTAAATTTTATTGTCCTAATAGTTTATTCTTAAATTTTAATGGTGTAGTCTAACAATATAAAGAATGCACTAATGCCTAAAACATTAGAAACAGCAGTGACAAGTGATGGGAAGTGTATACTGGCACTGTTCCCAAGTACAGAACAGAACACCAGACGAGGGGGCTCCCAGACATGGCAAGCATAAGGCCGCCTCAACACGATTTATAAATTCGCCAACCTCCAGAGGCTATCCGAGGAGGCATAACTCCCCCCCTCGGTCAATCCAGAGGGATTTTAAATGTTATATATGCAAAGTAAATGAACTCAAGCACAGTGGTGGACGGCTAGCATCCACCGAAAATAAACAAAGTCACAAGGGTAACGTCGTCCGTCCCTCAGTATTAACCAAAGGGAGCCAATTCCCTCGGACAACCTGCGATATCAAACCATGTAACATCCCCCCAACCAAGGTTCAGACAAGACAGTACTAGTACGCTCCCTGCCAAGCCTGAACCTACCACCAAATAAATGGTGTTTCTAGTCTTGTGACGACTGATTATTTTCTCCAGAAATGGAGGCTGTCTAGATACTAATCCAGCCAGTACACTGAGACTGCCAGTCTGAGTCGACCCCCAGGAAGGGTTGTTCTCAAGTACAGAAGAATGTATCCACCTTAATACAGCTGAAGAAGATCTGGAATCTCTGATAACACATTGCAATGGATGAAATGGGGTCAATGTTCTTTGTTTATCTACGCATTTTTCATTCAAGACAGATGACTGATTTTAAATCTGAAATCGAAATAATCCTAAGGTTTTTAAAAGAATTGTTTTTGGATATGCAATCTACACGCGTCAGATAGAAGACCACAGCTGATCATGCACCATTAAATGAAAGGGCTGTAGCCAAGATCTTGAGTATGGATCGAAGTACAATGCATAGTGAGCGCATTAGCACATTCCATAGCCTCGTGCCACAGTTGACGATATACTACTTGTATGCCACATATGATATGATATTCAATTATCAAACATACTATCTTTTCTTTTTCCTAAAACATTGAAACTGGACATTTGTTGAAGGGCATCACATATCATGGTCAAATTAATCTCGTTTCGTGAGGAAAGTATCTGTTGGGAAGGTGCGAATTTGGCATCGACAACATGAAAAACCCTTCTGTTATCAGTTTCAAGTTGATTCTATTGCAGGCAGTAGATTGGGGGTATTTTTCATGAGATACATTACATCTCTTATTTTATTTGGAGAGGATTTCAAGCCTTCTGCTCTGTCAGAATGCTCTGGTTGATCATATGTAATTGCACAACTTCTGCTTACATTGAACAAGCTAATTTATTTCCACAATGTATGTCATCCCAGCGACTTTATGCACCGATCGGCATAATCAAGATTGCATTGATTGCAAAAAAGTTACTAATAAAATTGATAATTAATTGTTTATTGATATAAGTAGTTTGTTGATATAAGTTTATGCAGTAAGAAGAAATCATATAAAATACATATAAGGGAAATAACATATTAAAATACGTTAATGTTCGCATACCAGAGATTCATAATTTTAACGTATTGACATGGCTCACAGAACTGCTGAACTGAGATGCATCTAAACTTGATATTATGGTGCAAAAATAGTTGATTACACTTAAGGACGATGTTCAAGCACAAATCTTATTGAAAACACATGAGTATTCTAATTTTTTTTTTTTTATTTAAAAGTCATTTGAGAAAAAAATCCCAAAATAAAACTTGTTACCAAACCAACATTATAGAGCTTTCCGCTTCCTTACCTAGTAGAATAGGTTTTAGTTAAGTTATAAGGTATTTTCACCCTCGTTTCTGCATGCGTTCGCGGTGTAATTCGAAGCATATGCGATACGTATTCGAGAGATCCAGGGTTCGAGTCCCGGCTAGGTCACTGCACATTTCCCATGTCTCCTGCTTGGAAATAGCCTAATCATTTACAAATGACGTCCAAACTAAAAAGTGATGAAGGATAATTCGTCACCACCCAGGATTTGGCAAATGGGTCCCCTAATCCCCAGTTGCCCTATGAAAGGGGTACTATAAAATGGGTGATCGGTTAACGAACAGTTCGGACACCGAACCAATCGGATAACGAACACTTTCACAAAAGATTTTGTGTTCGGACAACGAACACATTCGGATAACGAACACTTCTCGGCTCTCAAGGGTTCCCAAACCCAACAGACCAAAATCACTTGAATTATGTTGCTTGCCTATTAAACCTCAAAGTTCTATATTATAAAAAAAAATTTCCAATAGAATATTTATAGACAAAGTAGACCATCAGTTTCGGTTTTGATTTCATTCAGGTGATCTGGGAGACACCCCTGAAATTATGGATGAAATTTTGACAATTGCTTGAGATCTGGAATCGGAGGTGAACGTGGATGACATAGAAGAGCTCATAATGGAACATGAAGATGAACTCTGAAGACAGAAGAACTCCAAGAAATCTTGAATGAAGAACACCAAGAAACAGAGCGAAATGTGTCTCCTTCTGAACAAGAGGAAGACGAAAGAGGAGCAATGCCGACATCTGCCATCAAAGATCTTTTGAAGAAGTGGGAGGATGTCAGAGCAATTTTCTTAGAATGGCACCCAAACCAAGCTGATGTCAGTTGGGTTGGGGATCTTTACAACGACAATGCTATTAATCACTTCCGGAAAATCCTGAAAAAGAGAGAAAAGCAATCGACATTGGGCATGTTCTTTAACGCCCCATAAACAAAAAATGAAAAGGACTGATTAATATGCAAGACTATATGTATGTATTATTTTTTTAATAAATTTATTAAGAAATTAAACAACCTTTTTTTAAATTTAATTTTTAGGGTCTCCAGAACGAATTAATCGATTTCACAAAAAAGATTTATGGTAAATCGATGATCGGTTAGCGAACAATTCGGATAGCGAATATAGTCTTGTAACAGATTATGTTTGTTAATCGATCACTCACTGCACAAGGCATTTTCTCACTTTCCGCATGCCTTCATGGTGTAATTGGAAGCATACTCGACTCGAGAGGTACAGGATATGAGTCCCGGCAAGGGCACTGCATATTTTTCCCGTCTCCCGTTTAAAAAAAAAGTCCCAGTGACTCTACAAAGTTAATAATTTACAATAAGGAACAAGGAAAAGGTTATATAGCCTTAAAGGAGCTAATTTGAGTATTAAGTTAAGCAATCTTAAGACAATGTGTCAATCTATCGAGCGCAGCTATCACACTGGTTAAAACAAACTCTTGGGCTATTAGAATCTGTGATTTTGTTTTTGTAAACATAGCTTTGGAAAATTAAAAATGATAATAATACGAAAAATAATAAAACATAAATCTAATAAACCATTTTTCAAAACTTTTATTCATATTCTTACTCTAAGTGTTATCTTTAAGTCATTCTTCTGAAATTATTTGTATCATGATTATGTTGTATGCTGTTTATTATAGAAAAAAGCATAAGGGGGGTCGGTGAAGATAACCATTCCTATAAAAGGGTTCGATGCAAGAAAAAGGTTGGAAATCCTTGATGGATGAAAGGAATGGTTCGATAAACATTCGCCTGTGTTCTAAATCATACAACGTTCCCCAGTGCCTTAAACCCGAAGGCACTGGAGAACCGGGTTTGTATCTGGGATGTCTGGGAGCGGCAGCATCCCAGACAAAAACCGAAGGCATCGGAATTTTTTCTGGGATGCTGCCACTCCCAGACCAATTCATGATCCATAAATTCACGATAGAGTTAATACATCAATAGGCATAGCATATAGTTTCTTCGGCAAATCTCTAACATTTGGTGGCTTTGATGTTTCAAATATGTGCAAGTTGTCATTGTAGAAATATCAGTGGAGAAATGAGATCTTTACGATTATTTGTTGGTCATTCAGTGCAAATTTTATATACATCATAATATTCATTATACTTTTAAAACATGCAAGTACATTGCTGTTTTCAATTACATTCCCCCCCCCTTTTTTTTAGAATGTTATGGGACCTAGAAAAGGGAGTAAAGGATTTTGAATGTATGGGACATGCTGGTGACGTCATGAGCATGTCCCTTCACCCAGACAAAACCTCTTTCGTAACAGGATCTGTTGACAGAACTATTAAAGTAAGTGTCCGATTTTTAATGCGTTTGCATGTGAGGCGTTGTTTAAGAAATATATAAGGTATTTTTTCTCTCCTTTCCGCATGCCTTTGTAGTGTAATTGGAAATATATTCAACGCGCATTCAAGAGATCCAGGGTACGAATCCCAGAGAGGGGATTGCACATTTTCACGTCTCCTACTTTCCCCCCTCCCCCTAAAAAATCTAAAATCTACAAATATTTCCTTTCTCTTATTAAAAAAAAATAATAATAACACGTAATTTTTAACTGATTCATTAATTCAAAACATACATCGATACACCGACAAAGATAATTATCTAATATCTTAGAAAATAGAGTTATTTTATGTTTGATGTAATACAGCTTTATAATACAATTTAAAAATCATACGTAATCAAGAAAATTTAATGTAACAGTTACGTTGCGATAATAGTAGAGAATTTCAAAAGATTCTTTTGCTATCAGATGAATATAGCCTGGAAAAAATTATTATTAATAAATTGAGTTCTGAAGAAACATTTTGATCGGAAGAATAACAAAATATTCTTAATATTGAAATTTTAGGGTTAATTTATAAATTTAATAGACTCATAAATTTTCTTTTATAAAAATTTATCATGTACTAAAAATGAAGAAAACTAGGACTTTTAGGTTATCAACGAGTAAGATTTCTTTTCTAATTTTACAATAAAAATCCTGCGAATTTACTCAAAGCACATTTGTGTACAAGTGTTTCCTTTGTTTCTTTAAGCTGTGCGTCATAATAATTTGTTAGCATACTGCTGTCCAAAATTAATCTAACAAATGCGTACTATATTAAATATTAATAAGTCATAAATAAAGTTGAATAAGATTAATACTGAGATACTTCATGCCATGATGTATAAATGTAGTAATATAAAATGAAAGTAGAAGAATCTCTTTGATACGTCACATATGTTCATCATTTTGTTCTGCTCGTGCACAATAAAAGGGAAAGGAAAACCGTAAATTAAGAATTTCGCCAAGTGAATTATTCTTGACGCAAACTGAAAAAAGTGCGCTAAGATAAATTTTTGAATTTCTTTGTAAGTTTCTCACCATATTTTAAAAAACTTTGTGTCAAAATACCTATGTTAGAAGAATGGTATATATAAATCTAATATAGATAGTAAGTCGCGCTTAAACGCATGAAAAAAGCAAGTTAAATTTCATCTATTGGCTCAGAATGAGAGATATAGAAGCGTCCTAATTTTTTAACAGAGTGTACATTACAAAATGACCATGTAAAATGAAAACAAATCCCTTTGTCAATAATTATGCACATGTATTTATATAGGTTTATAATTCAAAGCTCGTATTAATGACTGTAACTTTTTTGCTTTCAGCTGTGGGATATTAGAGATGGCGAATGCAAGCAGACGTTTTGGGGTCATGAATCTGATGTGAATTCAGTTTGCGTAAGTTACTTTTAATTTCACTCCCATACTTCTTTATATAAGACTGTATTTGACGTTTCAATGGAGCTTCTCAATATAATACGAAGAAATTTTAATCATTTTTACAAAATCAAACCAGTTATGATCTAAGTGAGGTTAAAAAAAAAAAATAAAGTGGTTGACTGTAGTTATCATTATTTTTACGAAAAAATCATGAAATTTATGAAGCATAACAAAAAGGTATCTGGCATGAATATGGTGGGCCGACGAACCGACAAAAACAACAAATTAAAAAAAGAGACACATTACAAAAGGGATTCATATTTTATGTCTCATTAGAGATTTTGTTAAGAATTTTTCTGCCTCATTGAGCCCGCAGTTTAACAATCTACTCTTGAACCCACTCCTGCTAATACAGTATTTTAGACAAGAGGTGTTATTGGTCTCAAACTCATTTTTTGTCGAAATCGCTTTTTCAACTGTTGCCACTAAATGGTATCACGATGTATTATTTTTAAAAAATCAAATAATGAAGTATCTGTACGTATGTACGTTCCTCGCATTGTGGAAAAACGGCACCTAGAGCCACCGAATTTTTAATACACGGGATCCTCCCTAAGCACCTCGAAGAATGAATTTTGAATTTCGAATTTTTTTTTTTTTATTTATTTCATATTTTGTGCAAATTTAACGAATTTTTGTTTAAACTAACCCGGCAATTTGAAAGCGAGAAGGAGGAACATTGTTCAAATAATGCATTCTGATAGCCAGCGCGACGCTCTGTTGCCAATTGGCAAAATGTAAAATATTTATCTTTTAATTTTAGTTCACAAATTCGACTATTTGACAGCAATGTGTTGCCACTGCCTCAAACAGAATACTTATTACCTTCACACGCCAGCCTGTTGCAATTCAGTAAAACATAGCGAAAAGAATCTTTCTCTTACTGAGTAGCAAACCAATTGAACTGAATAGCAATAAAAGCAGTTCTTAAAAATATTTTTTCTACTCTATTAATCTTATTCATTTAAATAAAAATCTGATGTGTACACCACATGACTTCCTTGTACGGAATATTAAATTATACGCATTTTTTCTTGCATTTCATTTAAACTTATCGGATTGAATTAAATCTACTTCGCCAACAGCGCAAAAACCACAATAGAATAAATGCATTCTTTAAAATTCACTCTAGTATTTGTTTACCATAGCGACGCTCTGGCGCTAGATTCACTTAACAGTATTATATTTCGTTCATATTATAACTCATAATGCACAAAATTTATATCATTTGAAGAATAGAATTATCTAATCGTTGCCACATGTTCTATTCAAATACTATAATAAAGCTAGAATGATGTATAAAAGAAATTAAGCAAATAAAACAAAAAAGAAACAGTTTTTCATAGACGATTGAGTATTTCTCATTCAATTCGCAAGAAGTTCTCACTTCGCAAGAAGGCAAAAATACATAAAAACTCAAAATATCTATATTAAAAATTACGAAGCAAATCTTAAACACTTATTTCCTCGAAAAAAATCCAGAAAGGATTAAGCATGGTTTAATTAGCAATAATAAATGAAGGCGTTATCTTTGTTGTTGCGAAGCTTACTTTCTCTTGATTGGGAACAAATCCACTAGTCTGCTGTTTCAAATGTAAACAATCAATGGGCGCCATGAAAAAAAGGCTTAGCGGCCCTTAAGCAACTTTAAAATTGTTGATAATTCTAAAAATATTGCATACAGATTTACTAAAGGTATAGAAACCTTAACCGGAACATAAAAACAACATAATTCAATCATTTTTAAAGCAAAAAATGTACAATTTACAAACATATAAGAGTAAAGCAACTGAGATCACTGAGCCGGGTAACAGAGTGGATATTTATATAAATATATTTATGTACGTTTGGTGAGGCCGATTGCAACCAAAATACGAGGTGCACATCTACATGTTATAGCAGTCCTATATACAAAATTTCAACGTTCTGAGGCTACTCGTTTTTGAGTTATGCGAGATACGTACGTACGTACTTACGCACGTACGTACATACGTTCGTACAGACCCCACGAAAAATTCTCTTCAGAATTAATTTTAGAGCAGTTTTATAATTTTTTTGGAGGAAACGAGTCTTTTATTCTGTCCTTACGTACAGATATCACGCAAAAACATCGTTAAATTGCATTCAATAGCGGTCAAAATGGATATTTTCGTTGAAATATGCTGCCTTAAACTTTTCGCGATTAGAATACTTTCTTTTTGCTTCGTACAAGGAAGTAAAAATGTGTTCTAAATCATGAGATATCTAATTAGAAATGTTCAGTATTTTTATTAAATGACACTAGACGGAATCATTAAAATCATTATATATCTTTCTTGATAACTATTATAGGGCTCGAGTCGCTATTTTCGAAGAAATAATACAGTGAACAGGAAAAGAGAATTGTGTGGGAACCCCTAACACTCTATCAGGAATTCTAAAGATATGCTTTTTTTAAAAGTATTTTGTGATTTTTCTGTTAAATTTCATGTGGCGTAAATGCGAAGAAAACGATACTTATACTAATAAAAAGACAATAACAACAAAACCAAGAAAAATAGACTGTGTTAACAGTTAAAGTCCAAGCGCAGAATGGTAGCATGTATGCTTAGCAAGAGAATAAAATACTACCTTAGTAAATTCTGTAGTACTACTTTAAAATCTGAATCTTTTAGGATTTTTTTTTAACTTTATTATTAAGTGTCAATTTTTTACGCCTACGCCACATAAAATTCAACAGTAATACAACAAAATATTTAACAGCAGCACATTTGCACATTTCTAGAATTCCCGATAGTGTTTAAGTTTTGCTATACATACTTCTGAGAAATAAAAGCAAATGCGTATTTACTATACGTTCCATTCGTATATACTTTAACAAATTAAAGAATAAATCCAGTTTAAATTACTGAATTAAAGTCAAGGAAATTATTATAAATAACCGATATTACGAGTAAATATAATGTTTATGAATAAAATAAACCAAAATGAAATGAAACAGAAGCAAATGCATTAAGCACAAACAAGTTTCGGTAGTATTGCAGTTGTAAACAGTTGATAAGACCTAAAAGACGCGCAGGCTTTTGTAGGGTTGCTATGCCCCTCCCCCTTAGTCGCCCATGAAGGTAGGAAGTAAGATGGAGTCGCCCTAAACAAGTTTCTCCCGTACCCTGCTCTGAAGCACCGGCGATCCCTACGTGGTGACCAAAACATTGGGTCATTTACCATTGAGTTCTATGAGATTTGACGCGTTCGGATGTAAATATTTTGTAATTACGTCGTAAATATACATATAAATGTATATATATTTTTCTTTTTCTACAACACTTCAGAGTCCTAAGTATGTGAAAACAACATATAAATAAACAAAATTTCATTCTGAACGGAATTAAATGCTATACTTTTCGCAGAACAATACTTCCTAAAATACTTTCTCAGAATGGTTTAATTTGAATGAAATATTTTCACAAGTTTTCGTTAATTACATTAGGAAAAAAATTAAGGTAATTCGATTTTATTCGGTTAAGGTACAAAAATTAAGATGAAAGTTTATTGTATTATTAATATTAAAATTATGCATTATTTCTTTTTTATTTATAGAGCTTCTTCCTAAAATACTTTCTTAAATATGACATGATTTTTTGGCTTCTGAGGCATCTTTTAAGTCGAAAAATGTAAGTCAATTTATAATTAATGCTCTATTCGGTTCATTTTAAATTAGAGAATTATTAGGAATTAAATAGTACTTGGCTTTCTCTAAACATTTCTGAAAGGAATAAAATAAGTTTTTTTTTTTTTTTTTTTTTTTTTTTTTTTTTTTTTTTTTAAGTATTATTTAAAATTTGTAACTGAGTTATTATAAAATGTAAGGGGAATAATTCTTCTAATTATACTTATCAGATTTTTTTTTACCCCTCATTTCAACAATACATATTCCAAAACTCTTTATTACGTTCTTAAGTGCGCATCTCATAGCATTTGCTTTACAATACCTTTTAACAGATTGCTTTCCAATACGAACAATTCTTGCTTAAATAGTTTTATAACGTATTTGTCAACATGTTTTCAATTTATGTTTACAATTCAATATTAAGGTTATTATATATTTAGATAACATTTATAATCATTATAAATTAGATACATTTAATAATTAGATTTCTTCACGGTTCTTTCACAGTTGTTTATAAGTGAATAAATTCTTCATTTCAAATACATTTATAAATAATTTAATGAATATTTAAGTATTTTGTCAAAGGCAGATACATGCTTTTTGCAAGCACATGCATAAATATCCATACATATTTCCTATTTTTCATTTCCGGCATGTACAAATCTTTAATTTCTGTGCATTCACTATATTTTTCGTGTAAAGTAATTTACACTAATTTAGCATACACCCGAAAGTTTTACATAAAAAATATATATGAATATAATTTGAATGAAAATTATAAGTATTATTTTTAATACCCACTCAAAGGTCAGTTTTTTCTTCAAAATTCCTCCACGATGGCATCTCTCTCTTTAGGCAGATAGCCCTTGCATGCGTTACTCTATTTAATAAAAACTTAATCTGACCTATGTGCCTAATTACAAATATTTTAACTTACATAATTTTATATTTATAAAACGTGTAAGCCCAAAGTGATTATTTTTCAGATATATAAAATTAAAACGATGGGTTTAAAATGAGCAGCAGTAAAGCCTCTCCTCTAAAACATTTTAAAAGGTATATGTTACAATAATATATGGTTGTGAAAAAAATTTGTTTCTTTAAAACATTTTGACGTTTGGAAAATAAAAGTAGCGAATACTCTATCAAGGGTATCGAAAGACGTATACAATTTTAAATGAAATAGACGTAAGGTATTTTTCATTCTTTAAGCATAACATTTTCTTAAAATCTATATTTTTGTAGTGCAACAGCTTATAATTTTATAAAACAAATTCATAATCAAAATCGCTGTTGTTAGTTATCGAAA